ATCTCTTGCCATCTGGACAGCATGCATGCATATGTATACATACGTGCACACACCCACAGATACATATGCATGTACACGTAGGCCAACTCAGATACACATGCACATATGCTTTCACAGGTTTCACGTTGTTGGATTCTGACTCTGAGGGTGCTTTTTCGGCCATACAACACCTTTTTGTTCTATGCCATTTTAGCTGCATTGTGTGTGTTTTTGCATAATGCATTTACATCTACACTAAGAAACAACATGCTGGCCATAAGTCACTTCCTTTGTCCTCCAAAAAAGAGAGGGCATGCAGGGGATATGGCATACTATGACCACTAAAACAAACTATCCCAAATGTGTTGTATTTAATAGATTAGATTTGTACTTTTCTTTAAACCATAAAAATCCCTCCCTACTCTCAAAGCCCTTTCCACATCCTCCATGTCTCTAGACATAAAATCCCCTAACTAAAGTTGTTTCACATTAACTCTGATGTTTTTTTATTTCTCGTTACTATCCCAATGTTTGCCACGCTCCATAGGCATTACATTGGTTTCCCTCTCTTCTCCCTAATAGGAATGCAACGGCTTGGAACGTAGGGGTTCCTTGGAAATTCCCAAAGTGGTGCAACACGCTCTCCTCCAATACTCGGGCTTGTCTTGCTTGTCCGCCTAGTTCAGCTGTAAATGACAGTTATCTCACGGGTGACTTAAGTTGCAGTCCATCTGTGGAAATGTAGACCTGTCTGCATTTTCCTTTTTATATATTTCATCCCTAGCTTTATGAGGATTTTTATAGCACATAATATAGAGTAGCTTGATGCGATATAGAGAAATAGTCGTAATCTAAAAAAGGCAGACTAACATTTTGTATTTTGTGATCCATATTCTCAGAGAAGCTTGTCTCAACATGATGCTGATCACCATCATAGCTGCAGCTTTCCCCCCAAAACTAGGTCAGTGTCCGCAGGTTTGGTGTCCATGACATGGGCATAGTCTTTGCGTCACTGTTCTGGACGTGTCCGTTGATTAAGTTACTGCGCATAGGCAGCCGCATCTGTGCATATACAGCGGAACAAGCTGTGCCTGTGGCTTAGTAATTAGAGACGAGCAGAAAGGTGAGGGAGTGCGGGAGGCAAGATTACCCCTCGCTGTGCATCAGCTCTGATTTCTGTGCTGCAATTTTTTTTTTTACTCACAGATAGCTCCGTACATTTACTTAAGTGAGCTGATTATGGCTCTCGCTTTCACTCGTCTCCAAAATACCTTTTATTAGTCTCCCTAACCGTCTGTCTTTCTCCCCGGCAGCCTGTGGCTCTATATTTTCTCTCGTCTCTTGATAATTCTAGCCTCCCTTGATTTTATTCTTTGAAGTTTTTTTAATAATTTGTCACCCACTATAATCCATTTGACTTGGATGGAGGGCAGCGGAAGGAAGTAGTGGAGGAGAGGCGTGTGTCAGAGTCAGCGAGAGCGTCTGCTCCAGCTGGAGTCAATATTTGCTTTAGGAATCTCAATAACAGGCCTCCAGTCATCTGCATCTCTGATAATGGACAGCCATATGGCCATGTTGACCCACGCTGTGCCGAGGTTCTCTTTCTCTCTTCTCGTCCTCCCTTCTCTTTCATTTGCTCACTTACTTCTAACTTCTCTAATTTCCTTTCATTAAGTGCTACTATATTTTGTCTTCCACTTATCACCTATTTGGGCACATGTTGCTATTTTTTACAAACATCCTTTCTCTGTGTCTGTCATCCATAAAAGCCTGAATATGACCCACCACACAGAGCTTTGACCCAAGTTACCATGGCAGCAGAGACTGGGATGCCCACTCTTGTCCAATACTGTTTCCAGCAAGTGACAGAAAACAGTGACGTTGCATGCCTGGTTGTGACCGGAAGACAGATATAGAGCTTGAGAGGCTTTTACTCAACATTATTCTCTTAAATGGAGATCCTGGCCAGGTCTTTCCATTCCTCTTCTCCTTACTTAAGGCAGGAAATATGAGCTTTTATTTTTTGGATTTTTTGGAGTTCTGTCCTCACAAACATCCAAAAAATGTACCTTTATGTAACCTTGGGACCCCTCGACTATCTATCTTACGCTGATTAAGCTTCTTGGGCAACAGCCAATATTTCTGGTTGGGATCCGGAATTGTAGACGACGCATACGAAATAAATTGTTGCCATTTGACTTTCAGTTCATTTTTAAACAAATCAGAACATCACCATCAGACGATATCCCATCGTGTTCCAAAACCTTGGACAATGCATCCTGCCTCTTTTGTTCCAGATTGATCAAAACTGCTTAGACTACAATCAAAAACCTTAGCGTTTTCAACACCAAAAACTTGTCCCACTTGATATGCAGCTAACTGTTTTTAGATAATTGTAATTATTTGGTGTGTAGGGTGTGGTACGGGACAGCACTTCCATCTTGCTCTCTATTTTCCCCATCCTTTGTCCAGGACTGCCCTCTGTCCATCCCTGTCTGTCCCTGAGCAGCTTGGCCTGCGTCCCCTCTGGTGCCTCCCGGCTCAGGTGCCCGTCACCCTGCCTTTGCCACGGTTCCCTCAAAGCCATTGGTCATGGCTGCTTTGGCCCCTGCTGTGGCGGCATGTGCCCACAGCAGGCCCCTCGCCCAGTCACTGTCGCGTCCTATCTATCTAACCCAGACCCCAGCCCCTCGGCCCAGTCCAGCCTATCTCAGCTCAGCCTGGTTCAGCCTTGGCGTCAGCAACAGCCCAGTGCCACTCCACCCTGGCAGTGGTAATGAGATGAGGGGGAGGGGGCTCTGTGCAGAGCGACTTGAGTTGTGTGAGAGTGAGTATGCATGTGTTTGACAAGCAATTTGTGAGGTGTCTTCTATCAAAGAAAAATGGCCACAACAGACAGCCGTGAGAATAATCTGGCTCATTGTCAAACACACTCACACACTGTTAAATCTCAAAAGTGCTTACTATCATTAAGCCATCAGACAGACCTTTTCACTCCAGTAGTTCCCTGCACCATATTTTACCCAACACTTGCCTCCATTCCACAACAGACTTACGATTAATCTATGATAATGATATGATAATGGCCACCTGAATGTTTTCCAACCTCATCCGGCAGCCATTTTGCAGGCCTATATATATTTATTTATTTATTTATTAATTTAAGCTTTCCCATTTCAAATCCGGCCATCCATCCTGCATGCTGGTTGCCCAGGCTCCAGTCACTGCTTGTCACTCTGAATTTCAAATGGCTCCAATTTTCCCCCTGATGGCACGGAGAAGTGGCAGGCAGCACATCGGGGAGGGAGGTCCTAGACATGCTGCCTGCAGCAGGGGTTCTATTAGAGAGAAGAGAGGCACGAGAGGGGGAGAGGAGAGGTTTGGAGCATCAAGCCAGCAGTCATGTATTCTTTCTCTCTTTTTTTATGATTATTTTTGAGACTGCATTCTCATTTGGGGCTGTGTGTCATGGCTGATTGTTCCCTCTTCGCTTCTGGCTGGGTTGCTGATGGTGGAGCTGCCCTGCCTCTCGCTCTCAGCACATGTATATGCAGCGCGCCACTGAAAATATGTGATGTGTTACTGTGGCTATGATAACTGGCAAGATGTGCAGAATGATGTTCTGAAATGTGATTATTCTGAGGTTTAATTACTTTGAAAGGCTAACTCTGTATTGCTACCTTTTTCTTCTCCAACATGCCATCATATTTTGTGCCTTAACGAGAACTAACCAGCTATGAGGAGCGGGCGCTCTACCTGGAGGCCATTGTTCAGAACCACAGAGAGGTCATGACCTTCGAAGATTTTGCCTCACAGGTCTTCTCCCCCTCTCCTGGCTATCCAATGAGTGGGACAGGTGAGAAACTACCCAAACTGCACCTCTGTTCTCCCTTAGGTTTTTTCTATTCCATGTTTTTGCCCCCTTCCATCAGGTTCTCCATCCCAGTCCTTCATCACATTTGTGCGTTATCCCTTCTTTTACCTTTCTTAATTGCCTCTTTTTTTCTGCTCTACAACACACCTGTTTTCCATCCTTGCCTCCTCCACCCTCCCTCATCTCCAATGTTCCTCCTCGCCTACGTGCGCTGATGAATATCAAACGACGGGCCCGGCCTCTTCATGCTATCCGACTGACTTCAAACGCTCTGCCTTCTCCACTTCCTCAAGCCCCACTCACACTACTTTTTTCATCCCTTCTTGTTTCCAAACTGCATATTTTCCGTGCAATTACTTTCCTATGAATATAAGCAGCCTTGTTAAATGGCGGCCGCACTGTGTGTGTGTGTGTGTGTGTGTGTGTGTGTGTGTGTGTGTGTGTGTGTGTGTGTGTGTGTATCCATCTGCCTGTGAGTCCATCCTGCTCTTGCTCCCATTGCTGCCACTAACATGTCATCCATGCTCCATGACAGCGTGCAGGCGTTGGCCGGGGATGGTTTGGGACATGGAGTACCCCTGGGCCAAACTGGACTGTAAGACTCTGCCTGCTTCCTCCTCACTAGGCATGACGCCCAGCCACAGCCCCCCAACATCCATTCATTAAAATGATTGTGAACCCCGCCATCATCAAATCACTATGTGGGCTGCGCTTGATTGAGCCAATTTTTGAAAGAAAAAATGGCCCAAGTTCAGATTCTGCATGCTAATGGATAAAAGTAGTTGTATTTTAACCATTTTAACCTCCACCCTCTACTCCTCTCGTAACATATTTGGCTTGTCAGTTAACTCCATGACCCTGAATGCAATCTCACTCTTACCATGCAACTTCAGACCAGCATCATGGCGTCCTGCATGAGCTACTCCATCTGCCATACTAACTGTATCCACAGTGCTCTGCCCTTGTTGTGTTTCACCTGCACTGCTCCGTTTTGTATTGTGTTGTGATGTTGTCTGTGTTTTAACCTTAATGACTAACTGCACATAAGAAACATTTCTTTTTAGTGGATAAAACCTTTTTAAACCCCTAGCATCTTTTACACTCCCACACTAACCCTCTTTAATGGTAACAGTGGTGCAAATTGTTTCTGTTGTTGCCATGTGAACTGCCCACCATTTATGGTTTGGATTTCAAAATCTTCTTGATTTTGAAATATGTGAATTGGACAGATTCAACAGGCACTGGCAGAAAATATCCTTGAAGGTATCTTCAGAATAAAAAATGGCACTTGTTGATTAACTCATCGCCGTAAAAACATTTAACCTTGTGTGACTTTGGAAACCTTCCTGTGATGACTAACCTCGACGCCACACAAGCTGTCTGAGTCTCCCTCAGATCACTGACCTTTCAGCGTTGTGTTGTGTTCTGCTGCACTGTGGTATGGTGTCTCACATGATGCTCTACTCTGTTTTTCCCCTTTTTAGATTAAAAATATAAAGGTCCAAAAACGGTTTATGGCGCAGGTAAGCCCCGAGTCGGACCTGAAGCTCGCTTCCGTCCAGCGGCCTACCTACCCCTTCGCTCGATCACTCATCCTGGCTGTTCCCCCCTCCCTCTCTTCTTTTTCTCCATCCAGCACTAACCAAGCTTTATTTACTGAGTGCTCTGACAAAGGGGTAAAGGGACAGAGAAACCAGGCTGTTTATTTGGGGGGTGTCCTACTGTTTAGGCCAGGCTGGTAATTGAAAGTGATGCACGGTGGGGACAATTAGCACCTGACTAAGTAGCAGCATGAACAATAAGGCTACACTTCTGGCCCTCGCTTCTGCATGTGGCGCGCCTTTATCTCTTACCCCAGCAAACACTTTTCTCTTTCCTTTCTTTCCCCCCAATCCCTCCACCCCCCTTATTTCCTCCTGTTGGAGTGTGCCTGTTTGCCTGGGGCAGACTGAGACTAACACCTGCCGCACTGGAAGATGTCTTTGTCATCTAAAGCCTTGTTTGAGCTGCTGCAGAGGGGACCAATGGGATAGCAGGGCCATTTAAAGACCCTCTTTGTTTTCTTTCTCTCTCCCTTATTCCTCCCATGTGAAATGAACCTCACTGTAAGGCAGATTGGGCTAAGCAAGGAGCGGAAATGCTGAGTTAAAATGACCATAATGATACATTAGCCTCTTCTTGATCTGGGTTATTTTTTTTTCAAGCGGTATCTTACTATGAAAATGAATTCTTACATAAGGCCATACAGTGAAGAACATCAATTAACCGATGCAGTCGCAGTCATTAAGTGCCACAGTGGGAGTGATGACTGTTTAGTGCAGCATGTTTTAATGGCCGCTAAACGAAAAGGGAAGTCTGTTGAGTGGGTGGTGAACTGTACCGCACTATTGTCAGTGTGTATTGGCTGTAATAGGTGGTTGACTTCCTCCTGTCTATCATATGTTTTCGCAGTACATGCAGATGGAGTTAAGCCCACAAAGTGCACTGTAGGAATGAGTAGAAGAATACGGGAATGCAGGAATTATTCCGTCCATCAGGCCAGCCTATTTTCCTCTCTTTTTTTGCCAAGCCAGACCCTTTTTTTATATTCATATGCAGATTTGAGAATCCATGTTCGGACCCCCCTCGCCTCCCCTCTAGCCGTTCACAATACACACACCCTATGTTTCATCCATAGCCCAGCCCTCCTCTCCCAGTGAGCGCGGCCCTGGATGCTGCCGGTGGCCACTGTGCTGCTGAGTGTCTGTTACTCCAGCCATCTGCCGTTCCTTTTAGCCGCTGCAACTTGAGATGGCTCTGAAAAATGGCAGGAAATAAAAGGATAGGAAAGAAAATAGGCAACCAGATGCCACCTCCACAAAGCAGAAAAGTTGTTTAAACTCGAGGCATGGGGGCCAAAGGGGGGTGGGGGGGCTGACAGGCAGCAGGTCTGGGTTTGGTCAGGGGCACACTGAGGAAGTCCGGGCGACGTTCACAATACTTGATTGTCCCCCCCATGCCCACCTCCCGGCCCATTACTTCTTGCTGTCCCCTTATCTGTGAAGTTTCTTTATAAAAAGGACAGTACTTAACAATGGGAAGGCTCCACATGTTCACAACAAGAGCATAATGTGCAATTTTATTTCCATTCAAAGCATTTTGCTGTCACACTGTGAACTGAATACTTTTTTTTTTACCCTTAGCTACAAAGGTTGCCTCGTTTTTTATGTCATTTAAGCATCTGGAAGCTCTGTATTCGGAAGAAAGGCGCCTTCTCTTTTAACAAGCTTTGCTTTCCCACAGCATGTGAAAGAAGCATGTTATCTCTAAAATATTTGAAATCACTTTCTCATATCTTAATTTGAATGGCTTAATGGGTGAAACAAACTCAAATCTCAGCACTTTGACAGTTTGAATTGTACGTTTTGGTGAATGTCGGTGAAAAAAAAACCTAGGCGATCTTGTTTGTGGGAGCAGCCAAATGCATGGCAAAGCATGCTGGGATAAAACAGCAATCACACAACCTGATGAACCCCACTGCCATGCCTAACTCTGTCTCATCTATTGTTGTCCTTTTCTTCCTGTCCACAATCTCTCCCTCCATTTCTCTCCCAGGCTCCTTCACCGGCAGCGTGAGCACAGAATCCGGAAACAACGCAGGACCAACGGACCCCGTGGACCAGGTTTCTCCCACAATGCCCCGTGCCACGAAGAACCGAGTGTCCGGAAAGCTCCGCCGGTCAGCCAGCGCTATAAGCAAATCCTCCAACTGAGCTCTTCATCCCGTCCCCTTTTCCCCACCCGAGTGCAGCCTTTAATCTTTCTCTCAAAGAGCCTCACACACCCAGCCATGACTGCAAGTGTTTCTTGGCGTGTACTGTTTTTCTTTGTTTTATTTTGTGTCATATAAACATGTAACTGGAGCATAATGCAATTTTTTAATTTAAGTGGCAATCATTGATTTTCGTTGATACATTTCTATTTGTTGTGGTGTTTAACTGCTTAATCGAGATGGATGTGACTACGCTATTTATGTTCACCCTGGTGGTTTCAGCATAAGGATCTGCAGCATAGGAAGACTTGAATGAGAAGTCGTGAAAGGAACCTGTGATAAAAAGAAATGTCATTTTTATTCTCATGTTTCTAGTGTTGTCTCTATGCACTGGAGAGTAAGACGTTCTTACTATGTTAAGGGAAAGGGAGACTGCTTCACCCTGTTTCTGTATCTCATCTGTCTCAATGTGACAAAGCACTGAAGGACACCGCTGTAAACGGCATCATGCTAGAACTGCACAAATGTTGGGATCCATTTATAAATATGTTTGCCTTTTTTTACCTCCTCCCGCACCTGCCGCAACCTTTCTGCTGGGTCAAAGATTGCCACTGGGGACAGGAAGTTGCTCTTAAGGACCAGTGTGGACCATGTTCATGGACTTCCATACACTGAAAAAGGAAGAAAGAAACACTGATGCATGGGGATAGCCTCCCCAGGACTGTCCGTGCTCCCTGCACTACCACACATACTTTCTGAGTCCCTGCAGGACGTGCAGTCAGGAGGATTTTTAATTGTCTTCAACCCAGAGTGGACAATCAATGACGTCTTTTCTAACTGGAGCTTAATAGAAAATCTGTTTGGGGTTGTGTTGTTTTTTTTACCCTTCTAATTTTCATTTTTAAATGAATTCCGATGGATTGTGTCATGATTTGATTTATGCAACTCTGCTGAAACGAGAAAAGACTGCGTTTGTAATTGTTTTCTGATGTCGTTAACTTGGGCTCATGTCCGGTAATTGAATAAGTTCCTCCTGTCTCTTTCCTCAGCTATCAGTTTCCCCTGTCCTGTGAAGCGAACGCATCGACATTCCAACGTTTATTTTTTGCACTGTCATTGATTTACCTAGCATTTGAATGTTTCTCTTTGTTCTTGGATGTAAATTGCTTTACATTTTATTTGCTAGATTTATATTAGAAAGGAACTATTTGATGTTGTATTGTATTATCTGTTCATGTGCTGTTTTAGAGGAAATATGCCGCCAGAGCCTCAGGTGAATCTTAAGTCCATGCACTGGTGTGTTTGAGTGTGTGTATGAGTGTGTGAGTTTCAGAGGGAGCTTCTCACAGTGCCTGTGTTATGTCTGTCCTCTAACATGCTGTCCAACACCACCTATCCTCCCCGTAATCACATTTTAGTTTATCTTCTTTTGTGACACAAACCATAGACACCCTGCATCACATCTCCATCATTAGTTAGTAGTCTAAAACAAAGCCCCCCCCCTCCCTCTCTTTGTCTCTAAAGGTCAGCGTCTTGTGCTTCCCACAACAAAAACAGCAGCAGATGGCTTTGTGGGGTTCTCTCTTTTAGTCTTTATTACAGGTGGTGCACTGCTCCATCCCTGAATAGGAGTCAAGGAGGCACCTCCACTTTCCCATGATCCTCCGCCCTCGCCCACATCGCCTCCCAAGAGAGGGGTGGGTGTTCTGGGTTTAGGTGGCATGCCTGAGCTGAACTCTAGCAGCCTTCCTAGCAACAGCCGGGCCGGCGCTCACTTCTCCAACCTGCCCGCTCGGGGTAGTCATGGCAGCCAGGTGTTCCACACACACACACACCCCCTCAGAGGGCTCCACCCAAGCTGCAACTCTATCCCCATCTGTTGCACTACTATGCCTTACTTTCCCCCCATCGCTCTCCTGTCTGTTGTCTTTACTAACCTGACATGTCGTCTCCTTTTGTTTGGGTTGATACATATTTCTTTTTTGAAGAATGTATAAATATAAACCCCCCCCCCACTTGAAGGAACCGCCCAGGATGCTGATCTTAAAGATTGTAGTTTATTAGCAGATGTCTTTAGAAAGGGGTCTGTGCTCCCCCTTTGGTGGTTTAGTTGGCTGGAGATGTTAGTTTTGGACCAAGATAAGGATTGTGTGTCTTATAAACGTGAGGGAAATGAACTAGTGTGTTAGCCCTAGTATGTTTTTTTCTCTCTTTCTTCTCGTTTTAGAAAAATCCTTGTACATTGTGTCAAATTTGAAGGCTCGAGCTCCTTCCGAATATAAATATATGAATGCCTGTAATATAATCTTTGTATAAGAGAAAGAGGAAAAAAAGCTTGAAGATTTCATCATTACTTGTCAACATATCAAACTGTTTTTAACGACCGAATTCCTGCTATCTTTATTAGAAATGTGAAAATTGAAACATTTCATTAAATCAATTTGAAATTCTACGTTTCTTTGTGCCTTTTTCCCCCCTCCTAACAACACATCAAATAATTGTGTAACCTCGGATTTAGCAGAGTGGGCCAGAGTGTGTGTGCTGACATGATGGTGCTGTTACCATGGGCTCTCTGACCCTGGCCCAGGCGTGCTAGCAGCAGCAGGAGGGTAACCTGACCCCCCTCCCATCTGTCTCCCCTGCTGCTCAGCAGGCTGGCATAATGGAGGCTCACCAGGAGGTACAGGTGCATCGGCTGCAGCACCTAGACTGCAGCCCTGCCTCGCCTGGGTCATATGAAGACTCAGGAAAAGCACTTGACCGTAATTGGAGCCCTGAAACTGTGTGAGAGAAAGGGTAAGAAAGAAGCTGATAATGTTAGCTCATTTTCACCATGCTCAGCGCTGTTTGCCTCAGTCATTGACCCCGAGAGAGTTTATGAAGCAGGGTCTGGGTGTCCCAGGCTGATTGTTACTACCAGATTGTCTTTTTTCATGTGTTACACTGCTGACTGTAGTCTATTTTCACACGTATCTCTGTCTGGATGTACTGTCACTGATGCCCTAAGGGGGAGTGACAGTCATTTAAAACATGGTTTTATTCTTTTTTTTTGTCTGAGAAGGCTGTAGTGTTTTAATAAGCAGGAAAGTCTTTATAGGAAAAAGGAGATTTTTGTAATCTTTTCAAAAAATAAGGCAAGTTATACCATGAGTAATAATACTCTGAGGTGAACCCAGTGCTGACAGTATGTCTCTGTAAGTCTGAAGAGGAGGCTGTGTGCTAAATTACAACTGAATTAATGCCTTACAGGTTCTGGAGGTCATATATGAAGCCCACTGAGCCCGGATGTGCCCTAAATCAGCACACATCGAACTGCATATGAGTCTTCCAGAGAAGACAGATGTTTTACTGCTCCAGAGGTGAGTTTGATCCGCCACCTCTTTGTCCTCCTGTCATGTCCTGACATGGTATTAAGGAGGGGATTTATGATTAGGCCCTAAGTGCTTCTCTGTGGCAGCGAAACGGCCTCTATTGAGCCACTATGATTCACTGCGAGTCAGCCTGGAGAACGGGGAATCGAAGGCAAAGGTTTGGCCGGGGGGGATCCTGAGGTTTCTTTTCCTGTTGGGGACGAGTAAAAAGAGTTGCACCGTTTTGGAGTGGGACCCGATGTGAGAGGGATGGCAAAGTTTTACGCACATGGTTTCATTGTGGGTTCTAAAATTATAACCAAAAAGTCAGAGGGCTTTTTCCAACATCTCATACTTTAATATATACATAATATACATATGATAAATTAATAGTTTCTACCTGTATTAATTTAGATAATAATCTTAGCATTATTAGCCTATATGAAGCTTTTTGGAAATAATTTTCCAGACTTCCCTCAAGAAAAAACCCACCACGGATATTCTATAAAAGATCATCAAACTTATCATGTCAGCATAACCAAATTCCCACCAGTAATATGAAGTATTCGTTAATTACCACCATGTACTTATTTCCACTCTGTCTGAGAAAGTTCAACCACCTTGAGACACGTGTCCTTTTGAAAATATTTTTATTTCGATAGACAACAACGATGTACACATACAATCAAAGCGCTATAAAAGCCAACATTTAAGAAAAATAACTTGTCCTTAAAAAAGATTGCATCTAAGGTAAGAGCTTTACGTTTGTTTTTTTTACAAGAGCTGTGGGGATTGAGGATTAAAACCCGACCCACGACAATTAGCACAACTCGTGAATTTGACCCCAAAAAAACAAAAAAAACAAAAATCAAAAAACATTTTGGCTATACGACATGTAAACTGCCAGAACGATTCACAGAAGAGATCACAACAAACACAACAATAAGTTACATAACATAATTTGAATAAATAAATAAATAAACAAACATATGATGAAAAATATTGCAACAATCTTCCATAATAATAATAATAATAATAAAATATGTGCCAGCATTCAAAATTAATACAGTCTATGTTGACTTTTTTTAAGGCAGTTATACAGCGGGATTTGGATGTGTATTTAGGCTATGTCGGACTAGGCTTATACTAAAGGCATTTGTGGTTCTACTAAACAGGGAATGTCTCAGTCACTCTCTTTTTCCCACCAATACGAAGTCATTCCCAAACTAGCCTAAAGCTACAGTGATAGTGAATTCAAAAGGCTTTGATGGGGAAAAGGATTTCTGAGAATGTTAAGACATTTCTTAGGTCTAGAAGCTATCATTGAACACATGTGCTGTCCTAGAAAAATACCCTTTAACAGTCAAACTAACGCTTTGTATTCTTTTTTTTCTTCTTGATAAACTACGTTGAGAAAGAAAATCTCAAAATAGGCCTATAAGTAGTTCAAATATAGAGAGAAGCATTGAACAATCACTGATTGGCATGGAAAAGACACCTCATTAAACACCACTTAAACATCAAACCGGCTGCCTTTCATTGGCCTAAAGTTATGGCAGTGAGCATCTCAAACTCTTATTTTTTAACCCCAAAGCCACTTTTTTTGTTTCTCCTTTTTTTAAGTTATCCCCCCTTCAAAGGCACAAGTGTAGTGTTGTCTCTAACAGGCGGGGCGCACCGGCATTTGGAGTAGGATCACCTGCCTGTTCTCCGAGGGGTGGCACTTGTTTATGTGCCTGGTGAGCCCCGGCGAGCTGTAGAGAGTGGCGGGGCAGTATTTGCACGGGTAAATCTGGGAGGAGTGCATGAGGCGCAGGTGTCTCTCCTGGCCGGCCCTGCTGGTGAAACTCTCCCCGCACACCGGGCACAGCAGGCAGTCCGCCGGGCTCAGGTTGAGGGGGCTTTGGTTTGTGGCTTCCTCTGAGGATGATAATGATGATGAAGATGATGCTGAAGAGGAGGGTAAGACCGGAGCCTGCTCTGCCGGGCGGTCGCCGGTTTTAAACCCGTGCTCCTCCAGCACTTTCTTTTGCAAGGCCTGGTGTGCCAAGATGTGTTTTCTTAGGTATGCCTGTCGCTTAAACCTCTTCCCGCAGTACTGGCAGTCATAGGTGCCATCTTCAGAGCCCGACTCGGACAGACCTGGACTCGGGGTGTCTCTGTCACTCATGTCTTTGGCTTCGTCGCTGACTGACTTGACACCCATGGGTGGCATTTTGGCCGTTTCATGTTTGATGGCCTGTGGCATGGCAGGTGCTCCGGTGGTCCGGGGTTTGTGCCAGCGGCGGTGAGAGGCGAGGTTAGCCGGGCAGCTGAACATCTTATCGCACTCGGGACACCGGTACTCGACCCTGACGATGCGGGAGCACTTGTGCTGAGCCAGAGAGAATGGATCTTCATACGCCTCCTTGCACAGCTGACACACAAACTCCCCCAGAGGCTTGTTCCCCACGGAAGACGACCTCGGCTTCATCTCCAGCGGCCCCTCTTTGATTTTGAGACCAAGCACGGGAGAAGTCGTCATCTCGTCTTCGAAGTTGAGTTTTCTGATGGCTTTGGGTTTCTTGGAGGCGGGCTTAGATTTACGTTCTGTACCGTCAGCTGCGGGTCTTTTGGTGGCGACCCGGCTGCTCGGTACCGGGAGGCTGCTGGTGGTGCCGCTGCGGCTGCTGTTGCTGGTTCCGATCTTCAGGTCGACCGGAGCGAACATGAGCTGGTCCAGGCCGGAGAGGGAGGCAGGTGTGGGGAATGACTCGGCAGAAATAGGCGAGCCCAGATTGAAACTTCGCTCGAAATATCCCCTGTCGTGCTCCTTGCTGATGGGCCGGGTGGGGCTGTAGATCGCTTGGCACACCGACTCCGGGTTGCCGAACAGCACCGGCTTCTCCAGTCTTGGCACTGGCGCGTAAGCTGTTGTGAAATCTGGAGAGGCTGCGGCGCGCTCCGGACTGGATGCCACAGACATCGGCGGGGAGGGATCCACATAACTCGGCAAGGCAGCTGGGGTGGGATGCTCCTGGTAGTCATCTTCGTCCGACCGAGTCCTGTAGGAAACATGTGTAGATTTCCTGTTTCTTTTTACCAGGAATCCTTTGGGCATCTTGGCGAGTATGAGAGGAAAGGCACTTCGGGGAGGTGGGTGAAGTCTCGAGTATCCAGGTTTGTTAAAAATATGGCAACACTAGAAGCTTCTGGGACTTTATCTCCCCAGTATATCGATTCTTCTGTTGCTGAAATGTTTTCGTCTCCAAGGCATAGCTCCACTCTTTTTATGCCGGAATGATGCTATTGTTCTCGCCCCCCCTGTTGCAGCATCCCCGACCAATCGGATGAAACCAACATCCCAGTGGATTTGATTGTGGGAGGGCTTACAGCCTGGGTTTGGTGGATTTCGTTGGAGGATGTGCAGATAGCTTAGCAGATGTACTGGCGGTTTATTACATTAATGTGTGCGCTCAGCCCCTCCCCGACAGAGGCACACGCCGGGACCCTCCTCCTTTTACGGTCTGATGGGCCCCTATACAAATGCACACGTGCCACGGCTTTGTGGCTCTCCTCTGGGGGGCCCGGAGCTGCGAAAGGAAATGTCCGTCACTGCCACGATCATCACAATTTAGAATTAAGACGGGGATAAGACAAGCTTGGTTAAATACAAACCAAAAGCTGTGTTTCTTTCAAGTTCTGCTGTGATGAGGTTCAGAGAAGCATAATGGACACAACTGTAACACCAGATTCTCCGAATTCCAGCTTGTTTCAACCTCCACTCGGTTCACAGTTGTTTATTTTGTATACCCATGCTCCTCTTTTACGCACGACCTTTGCACACATTGCAGGCCTCCCAACAAACCAGATAAGCAAGATTTTATAGACCTTTATTTTATTATGCCTTAAATAAACACTATGGATGGAGTGTTTCTTTATTTTAGGGCACGTGTCTGCGTAGTTTAACTCGCTATATAAATCAGACATCTCGCTGCATACATAAGTAATAAGAAGGCCCTCTGGTCTTTGTGCACAATAGCCACGTCTGCCCGTGCTTGGATTTCCTCGTCTCTCTTTTTTTCGTTTGAAAGGCAAATTGACCTCTTAACTGTGAAACA